ATTCAAAAGGTTTTCAATTTCATCCCTCCATCCATTCCTGGCTAACACTGTCACATTTTACCGTTAAAGCCTAACGGTTTGGCATTTAATATATATTTTTATATTATTCTTTTCTCCAATTTGGCTATAATAGGGCCCATCAATGCCACATCATACTTCATATTAATATCTTTCTACATAAATATTTTACCAACCTTTTTTTTGTTTTCCAATTATTGCCCATGTTTATCTCTCTCTTTTTATTAACTTTTTAGTTAAGTTAATTAAAGGGGTATTTTTCAAAACTATGTAGGAAATCAAGTAAATTTAATTTTTTACAAGGAAATATATAAAAAATTTTTGATTTTTTTAGGTTTCAAAAAATTTTTATTTGGAAAAAAAATTCATAATACCTACTAATATTCTTTAACTATAAGTTTTGGGTGATATAAGATGAAGTCATAATTTGTTATTCTATTTATGTGCATAAATGAGCTAGGTAAGTACATAGGTGATGCATTTGTTTATATTTATATTTAAATTGAAATTAATAAATATAAAATTTTAATACTCACTATTTATTTAAGTATTAAAAGTCTATTATTATTATTCAACTTATTAAAATATAATTAAACATATTGCAAAACATATACTTTAGTTCATATATAATATATAAACATAAATTTTTTTAAATGCACTAGTTCAATATGAGAGGTGTGTTTTTAAAACAATTCTTAAAAAATATACTTTTCTTTGTTAAATTATAAAAAAAATATTGTTTTAAGACAAATTCAAAAAATATCTAAAATAAATAAATAAAAATTGACGTATATAAAATAAAGCACTACATCATCAATTGGTACCGTTTACCACCTTTTGTGTTTGTATTCTAATTTAATTATATACTTTATTATAAATATAAAGTCATATATTTTTTTGTATACATATTATTTTTTTGATATTTATAGTTAAGATATTTTAAAACCAACTCTCTTATATCTCAAGACTAATATTTATTTGGGTTATTTTAAGGGCATACCTTTCGTACCAAATTAGTGCATTCAAGGAAGTTTGTATTTATATATTATGTATAAACTAAAGTATATGTTTTGAAATAGGTTTAATTATATTTTAATTTGCATTAACTGATTAAAATATTCAGTAAATATATAAGTATATATGTAAGCATACTTATATTCAATGGGTTAAATAATAAGAATAAACCTTTAATACCTAAATAAATATTGAATATTAAAATTTTATATCTATTAATTTTTAAATTAAATACAAATATAAACAAATATTTAACTTATGTACTTGCTTAGCCCATTTATTTACATAAATAAAATCACAAATTGTGAATTTATTTTAGACCACTCAAAGTTTACAATTAAAGGAATAATAATAGTCATTTAGAAATTTTTTTTTATAGATATAATTTTTTTAAATCTTAATAAAATTCAAAAAAATTTATCTACTTCTTATAAAAAAAAAGAATTAAATTTACTTAATTACTTATCATAGTTTTAAAAAATATTTCTTTCATTGACTCAACTAAAAAGTTAATAAAATAAATAAATAAATGTGGCTAATAATTGAAAAAGAGAAATTGGTAAAATATTTATGTAGAAAGATATTAATATGAAGTATGATGTGGCATTGGTGGGTCCTGTTATAGCCAAATTGGAGAAAAGGACAATATAGAAATATATGTTAGACCGCCAAACCGTTAGGCTTTAACGGTAAAGAGTGACGGTGTCAGCCACGGAATGGATGGAGGGACGAAATTGATGACTTTTTGAATAGTAGAGGAAGGACATGTGAGCTCAAAATGAAGTAGAGGGACGGCCTGAGGTGATTCCATAGTAGAAGGGTTAAATTGAACTTTTTCACAAAGTAGAGGGATGATAAATGGCTTTAACCCCATTTCTAGCAAAGCAAATTTTCACACAAATCAAATGATTAAACTTCAATTTACCGATACCCAACTTCATTTCTTTTTATCTGGCCAAAAAAGAAAAAAGAAAAAAGAAAAAAAGAAAAAAAGAGAGAGAGTTCATTTCAACTGCCCTCGTCTTTTTACAATTTAAACTAGGTTTTTTCTTAACTAACCAAAACAAAAAAGACAAATTCTAAAAAATATTTATATTTTAAACTGTTTTAAACTATAACATCATAATTATTAAATGATATTAATCCACCCGAGCCGCCTTTACATTCAAGAAACCCATAATTATGAGATAGTTGGTTTTGTAAAGTACAGATTACACAAAACACTTCCAAAGAACAAAAGAAAAAAACTGATTCCGTTCTTTCTTTTCTTACTTTTCCTATTTTTCTTATATGAAAATTCTGATAAATCAGTAACAGAGAATCACAGCCGTTCAAGCTGATTAACGAAACCCAATCTCCTCATCAGAAATCCAGAATCTCATATTCGCTACCACACCGAAACTTTC